CAAAAGTTTGTAAAAAGAAAAACAGGAAAAATCTATATTTTAAATAATTACTCTAAATATATTAAAAAAAAAATGAATTATCTACAAGAATGAAATTTTATATCGTCGTAATTTTATGAAAAACAAATGTTTTGTAAACTGTGATTTTAATTGTAAATTACCTCATGAAAATGTAAATTAATATTATATAGATAGGTACAAAAGTATGATTAAATAAAAAAAAAACCGGAAATAGAATAATAATGAGAAAATCGGATCATTCCTTCTACCTAGAAAATATTTTTATTGGTATATATATAAAAAAAAAATAAATAAATAAACATAATATCATCGTTTATCAAATACATTCCTCGCTTCTCTCGGAATTTTAAACCACCACATCTAACGCTGATCAATCAATTTGACTCGCAGCAGTAAACTATTTCAAATGATATTATCGTTGAATATAGTCCGTCATATCCAAATTTCCATTATGATATTATAACTTATAATGCACTATATTCACTTATCTGCATGATTCGATCAAAACGTATATATATATATATGTTAGAGCTCATTAAATAATCAACAGTCTAGTAGCACTAAAATATTTTCAAAAATACTACAGCTAGTTTTTTATCTGTTTAGAATTTTTTCATTTTTCACAGTTCTATTTTATTTTATTTTTTTAAACTCGATGACATCTTTTGTAACTTATCGGTTTGAAACTAAAATATCTTAATTTCAGTCAAAATATATATTACTATTTTCAACTTATTTTTCATCGAAATAACAGAGTAGATTTTGCGTTTGTTGTACACAGTATATTAATGGTATATATATTATAATTATATATATTTTCAAACTTGCTGATGCTCGTCCAAATATATTATAATATACCTACGCTCTTTATGAACTATATAATTTACTTGTCCTATTTTAATGTGAATACCCGACCATAAATTAAATTTTATTGGTATTTTTAAATTAAGCTTTTCACTATAAGTCATATTTTAGAGAAAGTGAATGAAGAAAAATCAGTTAATGAAAAGTTTGCTCTTTTAAAGTATGTTTCCGTACAACTATGTAAACATTCTTAATAAATCTCAAGTTATACACCCTGAAGCCAATTCAAAAAAGGTATGTAAGACTATTATACATCAAGGAACACGTCTTCTTCAAACTAAACTAAAACATTTAAACATTCGTCTCAAAATTTTGCATCTTTACATAAAATTATGTTATATGTATTAATCTAATAACTGGATCACTATAATTTTTATTTAAATTTATTAAACCTTAAGGGTATTAATTTTGGAAGTCATCCGAAAACATAACATAAATATTCGTTTAAAACAATCAGTTTTAAACTTTGACGAGAGAGAAAATATATTGATTTTATTTATTTTACAATGATAAGTAATATTTTCAATCTTGTGTTTTTGTGGTCACTTTAAATAATTATAGGAGCAGTGAAAATTCTTGATTTGGAACTCTTGTAGTGAATTAGATTTAGTTGGTACTTGAACTAGTTGGTCAAAAATAAAAATGCTACTTAATTTTAAAATAATATTTAAAAAAGAAATGTGTACGCAAAATAGTTTTCGACTGAATTGATTTATTATTGATTGTTTAGTGTAATTCAAAAAAAAAAATATAAATATATATAAAATAAAAATAACAGTACAATTTTAAATTTATCGTCAAATATTCATATTTGCATTTTTTTTAGAAATAAATATAATATTATAAATTTATCAACTAGTGTTAATTTTAAAAATACGACATTTTCGTGTTTTTTTAATATATTTTCGATTCATGTATATTTTTCTGTATGTAAAAAAAAGCTTAAATTTTTAAATTAAGATTCCTAAAAAGTTATTCTTACCACAATTGAAAATAATTAATTTTTTTATAAAGGCGTTTGAAATTTAAATAAGTACAAAAATTGTTTTAATTCCAAAAATATCAAAATTGCTTTAAAATCATAATTTAATTTCAATTTTTACACCCAGAGCTTAAAAATGTATGTACATATTAATTAGAAATTAGAAAGTTGTTCTACTTCAATGTATTTTCTATTACAAGCTACGTATACGATTCGATATGTCAACATTAATATATTATATGAGTTACAGACTTATAGTTGTATAGTAGTAATATACGTAGTACTCAATTATTTTCATTCTTAGCATTTTGTCGAACTGTTTCTTGATCATTACATAAAATACCGAGACCATTTTTGATAGTTTCTATAATTCTATGTATTGAATATTTGTAATAAAAAATATTCCTTTTGAACTTTTTCTTCTGCACTTGGAACGTCATATTTTATATTTTTTGATAGACTTCAAAAATAATTTATTAGAACAACAGTAGTTAATTTAAATTCATCTGTAAATATATTTTGAGTCCCGTCAATAGAAATAAGCGGGGAAAATAAGTTGTAATTTTTTCGTTATTAAATTATTAAAGAAATTTCTATTAATAAGTAAGTCAACTAAAAATTATTAATATACATTAGTTTTAAATAAATAATTTAATTAATGCCAAAATAAAAGTTGTTTATCCGAGAGTCGATCCTAAGATATTTAACTACGAGGACTGATGTGGATTTTGCCGACTTAAAATGCTTGTATTTAAAATACAATCGTATTTAAGATATTGGTTTTTAATGTCATTTCTCGTGTATACTTAAAATGCTTATATTTATAGTGTACTCGTCTGCATGTAAACTACTATTAGTGTGCACGATAACACCATGTATGGATTATATAGTGATTGGGTGTACAAATATACGTTACAAATAAAGCAACGCATGCCATACATATACTACGTATTTTGTAAATACCTAATCATGTGATTTTAACAAAAATAAGTTATAATAGAGTTTAAGACGTTCAAGAGAGTATTTAATGCAATTAAAATACATTTCAAATTTCCAGTACTTATACAGTAGTCTACAAAATCGGTTTACCTACGTACTATAAAATAAGTTTTAAAATATATATATATTGAATAAAAATAGCTGGAATTCGTTGAATATCAACGTATAATATAAATATTCAATAAAAATTCCTACATTTTTCAGTTAACATCCATGCGCAATTATTAAATAAAAGGCCATTTCCAAAACCATTACGCTTAAACTCTCTATTTTTTAATTTAACTTTATAAAGTTAAATGTTTTATGTAATTTTATCAGTTCATTTTTTCCGCTTATTAAGGCGACTATTCTTATATATTTGTGTATATTTATAAATAAGTGGTTGATACCCAATAATGTTGACCTTTAAATTAACAATAAACGTAATGCATATATAAATGCACATATTAGAAATAGTTAATTCAATTACTAATAAGCATAAAATATACTAATAAATACAAGCAGAGTAATGTCGTTCAAAGCAATTAAGTAAGATTTTATTTAATAATGTTGTGTGTGCAATTATCGTTTTTTTAAATTCTGGATTATAAACTTGTAAAAAAAAACAATGTTATTCTGATACTTAATATAATTAAAAATATTTTTTTAGTTAATACTCCATTCACAGAAAATTCTTTCAAAGATAATATAAGTACTTCAAAAGTTTTAATGAAACCAAAACTTATTTAAATAGTATTTCAACTGTTTTAAAATAATTTAAAAGAATAAATTGTTATATTACATAATAATATTAATAATATTTGTTTTTGTAGCTAAGTGAATGAGCATTTAATTAAAATGAAGCGCTATCTCTCATGGAAATTCAAGTTTAACAACAGATCTAAGTTTTCTAATCCGTTCTTTAGCAGTATTTCATACGTTATATAATAGTATCTACTCAAATTAATTATGATCACTGATAATTTATATATATTAATCAGTAATTAGTGTTATGAATTGAGTTTTAAAATGCTGTACAAACATTTTAAAATATTAATTTGAAGTTTACACTATCCGTTAAACAATTGATTAATAAATAGATAAGAATATATTTGTAATATAATAAACTAACTGTGAACTTAAAATATTCTATTTAATTTTTAAAATGTTTTATAAATAACCATATATCAATCAAAAAACTAACGAAAATATTTTATATTGGTGTTTTTTTGTGTTTAATATACAATTATATGACAACTTGTAAATATTTATTTATTTTTTAATATATTTTTCTTATAAATTAATTTAAATATTCGCCTTACTACCACTTATGAATTTTTATCGGATTCAGTTCATAAATTTACTAAGGAATATGTTTTATGTTTTTATATATTCAATGTTATTCAAAGTTTACTTTTGTTTGAATAAAAATAATGTCATAATTTTCCAAAAAGTCTTTATACGATTTTTATATTATATAATAGAATGTTTCTTTTTAAATACTCTTAGTTATATAAAATATTATGAAAGACAATATAATATTTATTTAGAAAAGTATTACTATTTACTACTATTAATCGTGGAATATTAAATTAAAATATACAAAACCATTATCATTATATCTTAATTCTTAACATTATGTTATTATTTATTTTTAATAGTATTTCCATACATAAATATTGTTTAACTTATTACTTTTAATTTAATAATGTACTAATGAACTCTCACTTCCACACAGTTAATGCCTAAGAAGTTATCAACTTGTAATGATTTAATTATTCTATAATATGTAAAACTATAATTAGAAATAAATAAATATAATAATATATATTTAATTTAATCGATTAAAATTAATTAACTTAAAATAGAAATAAATAATATGTTCTTTAACCATTTGATGACTGATACTATATGACTAAATATTTATATGTATATGTATAGAAAAAAATATCCATTACATTGATTAAAGAAAAACTATAAAAAAACTATTTATAGATATTTTTAAAATGTACTGAGTATTTTGAGTACACATCGCATGGGCTAAACGTGCTATTCGATATCATGATTAAAATGCCAACTGACATTTTATCAAAGAACCACATTGGGCGTATATAAATAATTTATTATAATTTGAACAAAAATCATTTATGTATTATTAAATGTTGAGATTTTTCTGGAGTATGATTTCTTCTCGATAACTTATTAGAATCGTCCAAGAAAAACATATTAATACTATAAAATGAAAATATGTTATTTTTTTTCTATTTTACGTATAAATTTAAGAATATGACTTTTAAGAATATTTACTTACATAAATATAGTATTAAAACTATTATTGATACATATAAACGTCCTTTTTTATTTTGTACTATGGGCATTTCAATACATTTTTTAAGTAATAATTTTTCTTCATAAGTTTCGATTTCAGAACGATTTTCATATTTTTCAAACTTCGCAAATGGTACTGTCGCATGATTTGAAATGCTAATTGTAGTTGCAAGTTGCTTCCTTTCATTTTTCGTCTCACTTTTTATCATATCATCATATATTTGAGGTTTGTTGGTTTTTTCATATAAGGATCGTGTGTTATTTTTTGAAGAATTTTGTAAAATCTTATTACATTCTCTCTTTTCTTCATGCCAAGGATTACTTAACAACCATAGTACATCTGGACATCTATCCTCAAGACAAATAGCCCTATACAAATAAACTATAATTTAAGTATTATAACATTTTTAACGACAAATAAAAATATTTTACTTAACTGTGCATTTATAAATGAAAAAATTACCAATATTAACCAAATTATTATATAAATTGTCCACAAGATAGTCGCTGTGGTAATCCCGCACTGCGATTCCTATAGATCGCATTTATTACATTTCAATAAACAGTTTAAAATGTTTAAGCTTTTACTTTATATGCGCCATAAAAAGATATTAACCAAATCACGATCATGTAACCAATAAACAAGAACATAACAATCCAGGCTACTATAATATTAACAAATAGTAAAGATAGAACTTATTATGTTTAATTCATCATGTATCATTTATCATTTATACATCTAAGTAAAATAAATTTGCAAATATATATCTAATATATTATTTATAACATAAATATAATAATTATAATATTTCGTACGTCGCGCTTCTGTATCAAATGCCAATATGTTCACTAATAAAACATTTATAGCCATCGTCTGAAAACATTAAATTGTAGCCATTATTAAAGTAGTTGTAATTTTTTTGAAAATCGTTTCCTCACGATAAACATTGAACTCAATAAAATTGTGCCAGTTTGAAGTGTTAATATTCCAAATACGTGTTTGAGATAGTCCATTTTTTCAAATTAAAATTTGTCAAGTTCTTATTTGAATATGGACATTGGACGTATATAACTATTTTTATATAATATGTTGTAATCGAATCATATTCAAAATAAAATACACACAGTTTTAGCAAATGAAATATAAATAAAATATGATTTATTATTATTACTTACTTATTATCAAGAATAGTATATAATTAAGGGATCTGTCAAAAGATATTTTAATATAAATCGCAAAAAAATTGATACTATTGACAAATTAATCTACAGCGGTTACTATTGAAACATGCTCGTTCTTTTAAATTATTCTTAAAGGCGACGCTGTATAAATTCAAATAAATATCCTCATAACTACAATCATCTTTGAAATAACAGACTGACATTTATCTTTAACTATTTTTATTAATTGAGATTGGCCGCTTAGTATATTGATTAAATAATATTTAACTTGACGTAATATTCATGTATAGATAGTTCACTGATAGTTTACAATGTACAAAAATAACATAAATATTATATTTGATTTAATAACTTGATTTTTTTTTTTTTTTTTTTTACTAAGCCGTTCCAAAACTTTAATTTTTTTTTTTTATTAATTACAAAACCTTCATTTTAGAAATATTTTATACAAGATAAATAACTAAATATTTAACTCAAGAAAATTTTCATAAATACTCTATAAAATAAGATCATATAAATATTATATATGTTTAACTGTAGAGGTTATGTGGACATATTATGTGTATAGCGACTCCTTAATTGTCTCTAAAAACCTACAAAGATCACAGTCACATTTCAATGTGATTTAATTTTATCGAATAATGATATTATATGATTATATAGTCTTATGTTAGGTATATTATTTACTTGTTCAAAGGAATTTACCATTACTCGTTCCGATTGCTATATATGTAACTATATTTATTTATTTTTTATTTATCAAATGATATTTTTTATTTCAAATAAAGTTCCGAGTTATGTACAGTGCATCTAATTTATTTTGAAAAGAAGTTTTTGTCGAAAATAAGGTTAATAGAAATTATATTTCTTCTGTTAGTTTCAGCTAGTCACATAACGTTTTATGAATATAACGCTATGTTCAAACCTGCAATTCTTCCAGTTAGATTTAAATTATATTTAGAATGCATTATTTAATTGTATTTTAATTTTTGAAAAACTATTATTATTTTTAGCTGTTGAAATTAAAAAAAAAAGACATTTTAAAAATGAAATGTTTTTATTGTGGGTATTTTATTTTGCATTAAACTTAAGATTGATGAAATACCTAAGTACTATAATTAAATAAAAATCAAGTTGTTTTCATTTTAAATTATAATAAAAAGTTAAAAATAAAATAAAGTTAAGGAGAAAATATTATAATACAATACCTATTAGATATATACAAAATTTTTGAAATTTAAAGAAATTGGAAATTTAGCTTATCATTAAATCACAATTTAAAAAAAAAAAATGTTTAATGCTTGTCATTTTTGCCTTAATACCTAATTAATTATTTTAAACGGTTATAATATGTATACATTTATATAAAGATAGTAATACGATATATAATAATTAATATGACGTAGTGACTAGTGAACTTGTGAACTAAGTTGTCTTAAGATATGTACTGGACAGTTTACCTTACAATCGTGTTCCTTGATGTCTAAACAATGTTTGGTCAGAAAACTTGTGGGGGAAAACGTTGTATATATGCTAACTAAATTAAGTTTTTAAGTAAAGGGGACGTTAGATATGCGTAAAATAAACTTACAAGTAAATTAGACGAGCAATTTGAGTCTCTCTTTCTCTCTCTGGATTCCTAGAAATGCCGTCGGAAAGTGCACATTTTTATTGTCGCTTCCATTTAGTCTTATACGTATACCCTAATAAAATTATAGTAATGACACGCTCAGTGATATCATTAATACGCCTTTTGAATTTTAATACTAGCGTGCATCTGTGGCTTTTAGGGTGTGAGAGTACCTACATGTCGAGCTGTAGGTGTACTTTTATACCTCCTATAGTCGTATGCGTTGAATATTCCGAATTTTTATTTTTTACATACTATGGATAATGTCTTAAGATATTACTTACTATACGACACAACTCACGGAAAAATAAAAATATAATAATTATTATTATCTTCGTGTGATTTATTATTGAGTTATACGTTCGAGTACACTTCATTAGCATATATTAAATTTGTCTACGCCTAAACAGAAGTTGTAGAATTTAAATTTAATACTAATGCATTTAGAAGTCACCATATACAAACTTCAACAATCCACGATTTCTTAAACCTCAACTACGTGGAAAATTATAACTCTGTTTGAACAAACATTTATGTTATAATATACACAATACATACCTATTCATATTATAGGTAGGTACGTTCAATATCGAATGAACCAATTATTACTTTAGACAGTCTAGACACGGTAAACGGTTAAAACGCGATTTTTGTTTCAACGTAATAACACGCATGTACGCGTTTTATATCTGTAGTTAGCCGTTCACGTAATAACCACCACTTTTGTACAACTGTTAACTTATATATATATATGATAAAGGTGCAGACTAGGACGACATACATATGTCCATGGCTCGTTATCGTTGGTGTGCAATATAAACCCATATCAAGAATACACGAAGGTTGTGCTACGAATTTCAGACATCAGTTAAACGACTCGGAAATCGGAGATAAAGTACCTATCCAATGGGCATAGTGTGTACCGTGGTCTGTTTGAAATATTATATTGAGTAATCATCCAATCGAGTTAAAGAGAGTTTTCAGTTTGATTTTTAATCAGTAAGTTTATTTTAGTAAGTATTTTCCCGAGTTTTCGTGTGTACCTACCTACATGTTATATAATATTATTATTAGTAAGTACTGCAATGAGTATTTCCAGCATAATTCAATGAAATATATTTCATCAAGGTTCGCGTCTGTTGGAGTTTTAAACACATGTTCTGAACTATGTCAATGTGTAAAAATACAGGCAATGACTCTCGATACACTCGACGACTAGATTTTTAATATCATTCAGTTTGTCTGCTGGTGCAGTTTGTGGCGTAATAAATAATTAATAATTTATGTATTAATATTTGAATGTGAATATCATAGTACAATTATGTCTATCCTACTACTTTGATACATATTATTATCAGTATATACTTAAACATATTTATTATTATTTAATATACATGTACATGTATATATGTACGCGAGCGGATACAAATGCGAAATCTGTGTGGAATTGAATTTCAATAAAAAATAGCACACCCTTTTAACAAAATGGAAACCTCGACTGCGGCGCAACACAACCATCCAAACACATATTATACTTGCGTTTTGTATACTTATACACAAATAATCGTATACTCACAAAGATACATACATAGATATAAACATTATATTATTCAGACTCCATGATAAATTGTATTATGTACTATTTAGAAATTATTCTTTTGGTGTGAGAATACAATAATAATACCCTGCGATTGAATTTAAAACGCATACATTGTGTTCACGCTGTATTCATTTTAAAGTTACGATTGTGTGTATATATAATGTACGTATTTACGTACATAATATTATGTGCGATCGAGTAACCATTTATCACTGCGAGTTCCGTTGGCCAAACCGTATTTCGATGGGTTTCGCTTAAATTTAACTCGATCTGCACCTACACTGTTACGATGATATCCTCCATATCGTTTCACGTGTATCTCAATACTAATGTATGCAATCGCATACGTATTATGCGTATTATTATGTTAGTGTCATTCTCGTAATATATAATAATAATAGAAAGGCGTTATACTAACACGGCGCGAACACTGGCAAGAGTCTGAGAATTGCGATAAGATATAACACTAGAACGATTCGCCCACACTAAAAAAAGGAAAAGTCCTCAAAGTAAGAGGACAGAACATACTACGTTTTTTTTTTTTTTTTTTTTTTAAATCCATTGGCGTCAATACCAAAATGCAATAATACTATGATATCATATTATTGTGAGTTAAAAGTTGGAGCCTTTATTTTTGATAAATAGGAAAAAGAAAAAAAAGAAAGATATAACATATCCAATGGGTGTGTGGATGTGTCGATTGGAGGGGGAGGTAGGTCACGTGACGGTCGTAAGTTACGGATAACTATGCCTTTATTCTACTATGTGTGCTTTTTTTTTCATCTAAAATATTTCACCATCCTACTCATTTTCTTTTAAGACTCCACCCCTTATTGGGGCTCATTTGTTTCTTGATCGCACTTGGATTTATATACACTTTGACGTTTTATTCAAAAACGGCATACCCCATTTTGTCTTATTATCTTTAGATTTAGGTTTTTTTTTTTTTTGATGAAGTATGGAATGCGTGACATTTGAGACTTTGAGCAGAATATAGTTTTTGTTTGCATGAACATTATATTATGATACATCGTATTATTTTACACGAAATATAAATCTTTTCACTTGTCGTAAATCACGACAGCGATCTCTCACTAAAATGATACATTTATACTAATATAACTCATATATTAATACGTTATTTTTTGACACCCGAGATTTGCACGAACTCTATTTATTGTTTTGAATGGTAGGTCCTCGAGTTTATTAGCTAACATGATAAAATATACTTGAGTGCCCAGGGCGAATATATCTCTTCAGATACGCACGTTATTTCTTTATTATTTTTTTTTAAACATCAATTCAAAATAACACGCAATTACACTACAACAGGCGTCTGACTGTGTTTAATCGTTTGCTGACCATCAGTGCGTGAGTATAGTCACTGAACGGCGTTAGATCGTAAGATAGCTGTTTGAGTTTTTTTCCTAACCTATGTAATTAATATTATTGATTTTGTTATTTATATTATTACAATTAATATTCAATTGTGTAGTATAGTAAATAATAACTATAATACACCAAATTATAAACTTTAATTGCATATATTAATATAATAACGATCAAAAAGCAATAATATGTATGTGCTAGAGACGATTATGA